AAAAAAAGAATAGATCCATGGAAACAATGAGATAAGAAAGAATTAGAAATAATTGAATTCAATAATTCAGTGTTCAGTAAATTCGAGAGTATAAATTACATTAGGAAGAACTTATCATTTGACAAGTAAACTAGAAAAACTGGGAAAACTAGAAAGCAGTTTGGCCGAAATTAGGTTTACACCAACATCCTACAATATAGACTACAATAAGCTCATAATGGATATGTGATCTGAATTTTTTATTAAACTTTTAAAAATTAAAAACCACTTATTTTTTCTCCTTTTCATATTCCCCTTACTAAAAAAGAAAAGAAAAGAAAGCAAGAGAAAACAAAACTCTTAACAAAAAAACATAGTAAAAACAAATAGTCACATAGGCTATGTCTAAAAATGTTTTTCTCATTCTGCACATTTAGCGTATTACCTCAGTGGGTGGGTAGTATTCTTCATCATTGGTCCTCTGGAATCATAGTTGGTTATTGTGTTGATCAGAGTTCTCAAGTCTTTCAAAGTTATTCATTTTTGCGATATTATTACAAAAGTGACCTGACCGTTCAAGGTCACACCATTTAACAACAAGAAGAAAATGAGATCTGGTACCTTTTACAACTATGGTTGGGGTAGAAGGGAAGGGAAAATTTTTTAAAAAAACGTGGAATAGAGATCACAAAAGATTAACAACAATTTCAATTACATGAAACTAGAAAACATGAGAAAAAATTAGGGTTACGAGGATCAAAAGGGAAGTAACCAATTAGGAAAAAATTCTTTGCACCAAGCACCTCTGATATGAATCTAATATCCTATACACACATATACATATACATACATACATATGAGTTTATATATGTGTGTATAATTAACACATATAAGACCAAGAGCCATTTGCTCATTGCAAGTGGTCAAAGGAGATAAACAGTTCTCAGAAGAGTTGCAAATTATTAATAATCATATGAAAGATTGTCCCAAGTCACTAATAATACAAGAGAAATACAAATCAAAACAACCCTAAGGTTTTAGGGTTCATACCCAGAAAACTAATAAAGACAAAAAATAGATGGGAATAGTCAATGTTGGTGGGGTTGTGGGAACATAGGTTTACTAATGAACTATGGGTAGAGTTGGACCAATTGGGACAACCATTCTGGAAAATAATTTGGAATTATATGAAGAAAGTGACCAAAATACTTTGACACATGGCTAGATACATTCCTTGAAGTAGGCAAAGAAAGAATGGTACCATAGGAATGAAAATATTCACAGCATCACTTTTTGTAGTAGCAAAGAATTGTAGACAAAGTTGATTATCTTTGATTGGGGAATGGCTAAACCATTTGTGGGATATGAGTATAGTGGAATATTACTGTGCCTTGAGAAATGATGAATGTGGAGAATATAGAGAAGTTTAGGAAAACTCATATGCACTGATTCAGAATAATCAGAATGAGAAAAACTGTATTCAATGACTACAACAAAGTGAATGGAAAGAGCAGCAATAACACCTTCTACCCCAAAGAAACTAACCCTGAACACTGTATAACTGTAATGACAAAGCTTGGCCCTAGAGAAGAGATGATGAAATGCATTTTCCTCCTTCTTTGCATAAGTGAGAGACTATGTGTGTGCATATATTATTAGTCTCAGTTGATGTGTTATTGAATTGGTTTGTTTGGGTTTTTGGTTTTGTTTTTTTTTTTTTGGTTGCAAAGGATGACTCCTTGAGAAAGGAAGGAAATTTGAAAATGAAGGTGATACAAAAATAAAAGATAGCAATAAGACAAAAAAAAACCCCACTTATTTCCCAATAATGTAATGACTTGCTCATTGGAAATGGCATAAAAGATATAAAGAGGGGTTGCTTCCTCCTTGTTACTTATAGGGTGTTTGGGGCAGGTGACTTCTTGTGACGCAGTCTTGAGGTAATTTACATGGCCTTACTCTGTAGGAATATAGGATGCAGAAAGATAAGGAGAGAGAGACATAGAGAGATAGAGGCAGAGGGACAGAGACAGAGATAAGGAGAGAGAGAGACAGACAGAGACAGAGAGGGGGTGTGGGAGGGGTTAGTATTCCTTTGAATTTCTAAGATTGGGTTGAGGATTATTGACATGAATGAAGGGAATACCACTTAAAAACCGGGAGAAAGAGGAGGAAAACCTTGTGGGTTGTTTTGTTGATGTGTAGTGGGAGGCAGAGGCAAAAACCTGTCTGAGTAATCCCACAGTCATGTAAAGAGACTCCTTGTGTAGAGAATGGAGCTATGGGAACCGAGTGTGAAATAATCAGTATCCAATAGGCTGCAGGCACTTGATTTCTGATATTTGAAGAGCTGTTGCATGATCGACTGAGGTTTCATTATAATTCCTTGATAGTCCAACTGCTCCAGGTCTGGCACCAACCCCTGAAGGGGATCTGAACAGGAGGGAGCAGTAAAGCAGAGCAGAGGGCACTGATAGGTGTAAGGACCCATAACCCTCACTGGAAGAAGAAGACAGTGAGAGCAATGAGAAGAGCCCGTATCCCCCATCAGAAATGGGGAATGGCTTAAACACAAGCGGCAATGCGCTGATCAAAGGGGAGCTGCCCTCAATGGAGCAATGGGGTACACAGCAATGAGGTACACATGCTATTGCCAATGACAGGGAGCACAGCATTAGAGGAGAGATATTGATGAAGAGTCGATGCAGAGCAGAGTGTCAGCGTGGAGGAGGAAATCCTGAGTCCTTCTCTCTTGTTATGGCCTCACACAAAATAGTACTATAAATTGGGAATTCTACAGCTCCCTGAAGAGTGATGGACCTTTTGATGATGAAACTCTGTATTTTATTTTATTTTATTTTTTTGGTGAAGCAATCAGGGATAAGTGACTTGCCCAGGGTCACACAGCTAGTAAGTTTCAAGTGTCTGAAGCCAGATTTGAACTCAGGTCCTCCTGACTGCAGCGCCACCTAGCTGCTCCTGAAATTCTATAATTTAAAAGCCAGTCTTCAGACCTGCATTTCATTTTGCTCAGATACAAATCCCTTCTATGTCTTAGGTTTTCTAAATAAAACTATTCTAAGGTGCAATGCCTTGTGAGCCTG